AGGTGAAATCCATATAGTGAGATGAATGAGTATCTGACTCAGTGCATTCCTGAGACCAGTTGCTTCCAGCTGAATCTGGTCCCAAGAACATAAGATGAAGGGTGAGGTCCAATTCCCCTTTGTCCCAAAGGCATCTGTTGGCCTGAGCATCTTGTTCAGACCAGGATCTTACAGAAGGCAGCTTAGTTCTACCAAACAGCCTCTCAAATGCTATGTAATCCAACTGTTAGTAAAGTAAAAAAGTGTAAGTTGTATATAATTTTCCTTTACATTCAAAATAGCAGGTAACTGATTTGGCATTTTTCTCCACTGATCTGATTCAATCAATTAGCTTGACAAAATTATCCAAAATGGCGAATGGATTAAATTGGCCAAACCAGCTGGTTGTCTTGGCAATATTTTAACACCACGGTTAGGTAATAGAGATGTTGTGGGGGAAATGTTGTCAGGTTGAATGTACATAAGGCAGTGAATCAATACCTTAGGCCTGAGGTCCAGAAACTGGACTTTCTCAAGATACCCAGGCTCTTAGTGATGGATTCATGCCAACCAAATTCTCACAAAACAGATGTAACACTACAAGTGCTAACGTATTATTTTACAAAGGGGATGTACTCCTTTCCAATGACCATAAGCTTGTGTTCCTCATCTGAAGCACCCACTCCATCTCCTTCCAAGTATCAAGAAACAAGAAATCAGGTTGTTAATCAGAAGATCGCTTGGTGACAGTACAATCATAACTATGAAAGCTGGTAACATTAGATCTGGGAAAGTTCATAGCAGAGATTATCATTCTAGAGAAGCCAGATTGATGAGTTCCCTAAGACATTCTAGCCATCAGTTTTGCCTTTCTGAACTGTGTTTTTCTGGTAGCTACTGCATTCTTTCTTTAGATGTTAGTATTACTGATGAATCTATAGTCAAGGCCAGGCTCCAGGCAACCTGGAAGTCATTCTAGCTCTGCTTTGATTAGTGAGACAAAATCTCAGAGTTGGAGATCGGCGGGAGCAACACCTCATCATTTGTGTCTATAATAGAGAGAGGGTATGGGGTAAAATATACTTTTCTTTGAAACTAGCTATCACTTCACAGGAAATAGAACAAATCGTCATTGGCTTTGGGTGAAAGGATCATTTGCTCCAACCTCTCCCTCAAGTGCCAAAAAGGAAAGAAAAACACTAAGGAGTTGTACAGCTTTGGACATACTTTGCTTTTGAAGTGGAAAATGGATTTGGAATTAGTAGATGGAGCAACATGAGAGGAAGTTGGGGGGTGTTGGGATGATTCCGGGGTTTTTACCTCAAGGAAATGAGAACAAGAGGCTTATCATCAGGAATTCTGAGACAATTAGAGCATTTAGATGTTTATTTTACAGATATTTGGCTCAGAGTTTTCAATAAGGACTTGTAAAATCTGTAACAGAGCACAGAATTTTTATTGTAAATAATTAGCAATGCACTCCCAAAGAAAACTGCTCATGTTCTGATATCTAGAAGTTGATAGCATTCCTTCTAATTATGTTATTGCAGTATTAACACTCCTGTTTTATAAGGGTCCTATTTTATATTGGTCATACAATTGTAATTATTCTCCTTTTCTATTTTTTAAATTGAGATATAATTCATATACCACAGAATTCACCCTTTTAAAATGTAGAATTTAGTGGTTATTAGTATATTTACAACGTTATGGAACCATTATCACTATATAATTCCAGAATATTTTCATTGTCCCTAAATGAAACCTCATACTCGTTAGCAGTCACTCCCTCTTTTACTGTAAGCTTAAAAATGAGCTGTAGCTTAGAAAACCCAAAGGGCATTATCTAGAGAAGAAAATAATAAATCAATACATAAATGAATGAACTTTAAAAGCAGCATTGCATTACTATTTTCATTGTAATTTAGTTATTTTCAATGGCATCAGTCTGTGGCCCCACAGATTGAAGTAAACTAAACATTCTCATTGGGTGAACATTTTGTACTATTAGCATAAGCCTACTTCCCCCTAACTGTATACATTTTTGTTGAGTTATGTGTACTAAACTCGCAGCCAGAAGGTTTCTTTGGTGTCAATGCAAAAAACAAATGTCATGTAAATAGCCTTTAGAGTTGATTTCATCTGAAGGACCCTAACCTTTTTGTGAAGAAAAGTCACTTCTCATTTCCCAAGATATGAAGTTCCCTAGGGCTTGTTAGGGAGGTGCTGACATTAAAGTATGTAAATAGAGTACTGCAAGGGGTATTGGGCGCTGTGCTGGACACGCGATACACATTTCAGGTATACACCCACTCCTCACTTATCAACATGATTAGGTTCCAAAGAGCAAGTCGTTATGCCAAAATCAGCATTATGCAAAAATGGGAGACGACCACATCAGATCACAAAATGAGGATGACTACATCATTACATAACTGCCAAATTGCATCATTGCATAATTGCCAAACCACTGAGAAGTATAGCCCGGTCAAGTTGACACCTAACCTTAACCATCACTGCCAGCATTACTCTTGCGTCGCATTCATTACTGCCAGATGTACATCGTTAATAAGCAAATTGGTCAGATGGTAGATTTTTTTTTACTATTTTTTTTTTACTATTGGCATAAATGTGAAAAGTTGGATAACAAGAAAGTCTATAAATGAGGAGTAGGTGCACTTTGCAGCAGTCTTGTGAGCCGGTTATCCCCATTTTATAAATGAGGAGTGTGGAGGAAACTAAAGCACAAAGTGGATAAATAACTTGCCCAAATTCAAACAGCTAGTAAATTAAAGAACTGAGGCTCAATCCCCAGCCATTATTTTTACTACACCATTCTGTTAAATATGAGGCACAAGATGAATTAATTTCTGAGATTCGAGGGATTTCTAACATTCTGGGAAACTCTGGGTAAAAGTCAATCAGAAAAATTGTTTTAAAATATTAGCAAGATATCTCAGAAAATGAGAATAATTGGTAAATATAAATATACTTTAGAGCAAATCTCACAAGTAAAATGCTGTTGTAAAAGGAAGATTTTTCCTTACTGACTCAAAGTTAAATGCCTGTAGCTAAGATGAAGTCAATGAGGTGGAAAGACCTTGAATTGAAGCAGTTTGGATCTTTGTTTATATAACTTAATTGACTTGTACAAATCTCTTTGGAGTACTGGGAAAGCTTTTTAATGAAACCTATAACAGTACAAATATATAAAATAAGAGAACAATGCATACAGAACTTGACCTACATTTTCAAAATAAGTTTTTTATCAGATTGTGAATTTCTAAATTTTTCTTTTTCCCTTGAAACATTGGTGAATACTCGGTTCCAGGTCCTACAGGCACACCTGTGTGAGACTTAAGATAAATAATACAGTCAAAGGGAAATGGGAGCTCCATTAAGTGTCCAGCTAGCTAGCCTAACACCTTCCCACTAGGCAAGACTGTGGAAATCTAGACAGATAGGACAGTAGGAGAGACAGGTGAGGAAGATCTAAGTTGTGTTAGAGTTGTCAAAAGGTACATATTTGAGACAGCTTTTTAAAGCATAGATGAGAAGGTTGGAGGGCGGGGAGTTTAAGTTAATGGGAGTGAAACAACTAGAACAGAAATAACGAGAATGTTGACACAATGTGAAGAATGTAACCAATGTCACTGATCATTGTGTCTAGAAACTATAGAATGAGAGCAAGTTTGGCTGTGACTATTTTCACCAAAAATTTAAATTAAATAAAATATTAATTTTTAAAAAGCACATCTTTGAGAATAATTGATTTGGGCCCGTAAGCTGACTATAGATGTGCCAAACTTGTTTGGAGGTTCAAGCATGGAAGGTAGAGGGGAGAAGTGATCCTCCTCTCTTTGGGAAGCATGCTCGGTTAGAGGAAGCACATGGAGAATGAAGGAATGAAAGGGATACCTCTTTCACCAGCCGATTGGGCCAAATACGGTCCGTACTTTAAAAGCTGTTTCACCATTTTAGAATGCCAGCCCTCTAGGTGCTAATGTAGAAGGCTGTTGGCATTATCCACATCATCTTAACAGCCTGAGTTTTGTTCAAGCATTCATTCTTTCAGCAAACATGTTCTGAAGGCCTGCCATGTACCAGGCCTTGGGCCAGGTGCTGGGAATACAGAGATAAATAAAACATGCCTCCTGTTCTCCAGGAGCTTATAGTCTCGTTTATTTCACAGAATAAACTTTTCATAACAATTTCTTTCTCTTTTTGACTTTGTGAATATGTAAAGGCCAAAATAAAGACTTAGGGGGTGTTCTTCAGATAAGGAGATGAATGAGGAGGAAAAAAATTGAAGTTTACCAGTCCTCTGGAGATTTTTCTGCTGGGAGAGGGGAATGAAAGCAAAATATTTCTGAAACTATGTAGGCTGGTGGATATTGTGGCTATTGGGAGGCTGTTCGTGGTAAAGTATTGTCATTATGTCACTGGCAAAGTTCTCTCTCTCTCTCTGTGTCTCTATCTTTCTCTGTCTGTCTCTGTCTCTCTCCTCCTTTCCTTCCCCTCCTCTTCCCCCTCCCTCTCTCTCCTCTTTCAGCAATCTATCTTTGTGTCTTGTCCTTGCTACTGTTTTTGTAACTTGTGTTGGACAGACTGAAATGACAAATGTATTTTTCTACATGTTCCATATTCAAAGTCATGGACATGTCACAGTCATCACTAGTGTCAAGGACCAGACAGTTCAAATGACTAGATAAACAACATATGGATCATGTGGACAGATCAAGGTTATAATGTGACTGATTGTCACGGAGGCTATCCTAGGAGGAACAGTATGGTTGTCCTACAGGTTTATTGTGGTGCAAATGGTTAACACACTGGGCTGCTAACTGAAAGGTTGGAGATCCCAGTCCACCCAGAGGTGCCCTGGAAGAAAGGCCTGGCGATCTACATCTGAAAAAGCAGCCATTGAAAACCCTATGGGGGAAAAAAAAACACTATGGAACACAGTTCTACTCTGATACACAAAACAAGACAAATGTAGTTGTTGTTGTTGTTGTTTTTTAATTTGTTTTCTCTGACAGGATCCAAGACAATCACCAAGTTTATCTGAGTTTTAAAAGGATATTTTCTTTGCTCTACTTGAATGACCAGTAAAGCATAAGTCGAATTGGACAATGCAGTTTTGCATTAGATACGTGCAACATAAATAAAATATTTTCTTGGGATCAAATGGTTCATTTCATGTTTACTCAAATGGAAAACAGGAAGAATAACAGTATCTCCTAACAGGATAGCTGTGAGGATTATATGAAATAATATACATGTAGAGTGCACAGAGCAGGCGCCATGTAAATGGCAACTCTTATTTATATAGTTTGTATTGTTGCTGCTGTTGTTCTTATTATGATGATGTTTAAAATTAATAATAATAACTATAATTATTATTAAATATCATCTTTATTATTAATTATCTAAAATTGTCCAAGCTGTTGTTCTGACCACATTCTTTGGATTCGAAACAAGGAAACGAATTGAAGTGTAGCCTAGTAAAGAATAAGTAAGAATTTAGAATGAAAAACACAGCTTTTTAACAGTTTAGCTCAAAAAGGAAAGATTGACGCCCTTGAGTATTGCGTTCTTTTAAAAAATTATCTGTATAAAACCGAATGGACGGCAGCTATTTTAAAGCATAGATGAGTAGGTTGTGGGGTGGGGAGTTTAAGTTAATGGGAGTGAAACAACTAGAACAGAAATAACGAGAATGTTGACACAATGTGAAGAATGTAACCAATGTCACTGATCATCCCTGTCTAGAAACTGTTGAATGGGAGCAGGTTTGGCTGTTTATATTTTCACCAAAAATTAAATAATATATTTTTTTAAAAGACACAGCTTTTGTAGACAATATGTAAATAAATGTCAAATCAAGTTAACTCTTCTTTTTTTATTATTGTACTTTAGATGAAGGTTTACAGAGCAAACTAGTTTCTCATTAAACAATATTGTTTTGTGACATTGGTTGCCAAGCCCACGACGTGTCAACACTCCCCTTCTCAACCTTGGGTTCCCCATTATCAGCTTTCCTGTCCCTCCTGCTTTCTTGTCTTTGCCCCTGGACTGGTGTGCCCATTTAGTCTCGTTATGTTTTATGGGCCTGGCTAATCTTTGGCTGAAGGGTGAGCCTCAGGAATGACTTCAGTACGGAGTTAAAAGGGTGTCTGGGGGCCATACTCTCGGGGTTTCTCCAGTCTCTGTCAGGCCAGTAAGTCTGGTCTTTTTTTTGTGAGTTAGAATTTCAGGTTACTCTTCTGATTAAAAGTCCCCAGTGACTTCTCTTAACGTGGTTTATAAGGCCCTACAAGATACAATCTGTCCCCCATTAGCAAACCACCACCACTACTTCTGAGACCTCATCTCCCACCTCTTCTCTCTGGCTTACTCCACTCAGTCACACTAGACTCCTTGGCAAGCCTCCTATTTCCCAGCCACGCTTTGCCCTCAAGGCCTTTGCAAATACTATACCCGCTAGGTAGAACACTCTTTCCCCAGATAGCCATAAGGCCTGCTCCCTCACTTCTTTGAGATCTCTGCTCAATGTCACCTGATTAAAGATGCTTTCCCACCTCTCCATAACTAAAAAAACCAAAACCAAACCAAACCTGTTGCTGTCGAGTTGATTCTGACTCATAGCGACCCTATAGGACAGAGTAGCCATAGCTCTTAACCACTGCCCTACAAGGGTTCCAATATTTCATAACTAAAATACCCCTATATTCTACTTTTCTTTCATCATAGCTCTTATAACCACCTGACATAGGAAACATATATATACATAAAAATCTCTCTCTCTCTCTATGGAGATATATATATCTATATATCCATATATATCCATAGAGAGAGAGAGTTTATGCAGTATATATGTTGTCGTTAGCTGCCATTGAGTCAGCCCCCAACTCATGGTGACCCCATGTGTTACAGAGTACAACTGCTCCATAGGTTTTCTTGGTTGTAAACTTCATAGAAGCAGTTCACCAGGCCTTTCTTATGCAGAACTGCTGGATGGATTCGAACTGCCAACCTTTCAATTATCATCCTATTGCAAACTACTTGTGCCACTCATGTTCTATGAAGTATGTGTGTGCATATATACATATATACTTTCCACCCAGTGGTACCATGGAAGATAGGCCTGGTGATCTGCTTCCCTTAAGATTACAGCCAAGAAAACCCTATGGAGCAGTTCCACTCTGTAACACATGGGATCACCATGAGTCAGAATTGACTTGATGGCAACTAATAACAAGAACAAATACAGATATGTAGCACATATATATAACAAATATATATCATGCCATGTATATGTATATATGCATACTTTGTTTATTGACTTTCCTCTCATACATGAAAGTAAGGTCTACTAACAGGAACTTTATTTGTTTGGTTCACTGATGTATCCTTAAGTCCTAGAGCAGAATCTGGCACAAAATAGGAGTTCAATGAATATTTGTTGAATGAACAACTGTCGCTTAAACAAATTGGTACTTTAATTAGAGATTTTTTTATTAGTTTGAGACAAAGCACCAGCTGGTAGTTTCTCGTATCAGGTAGACCAAGATTTCTGATAATTGGTCATTCAAAAATTTATCTCAAATGCGAAGTTTCGAAGTTGATATGGATCTCAAGAATTGTTTTCCTATTTGTTTTCATTGTTGTTGTTGTTCCTAGGTTCAGAATAACATCACCTGCTATGGCAAACATTTGTCTTCATTCAGATTTGATATACTAATATTTCAAAGTCTATTTAAAGTCGTGTAATGAAGCGCAATCTGAAACTCTTTTTTGCTAAATAAATTCATCCGTTGTGGGGCACAGAGCTTTCTTTTATTATTCAAATTTTAGAAAATTTCAAACCAAGTACACAATTAAAATTGGATTCTAATAACTCAATTACTTATAAAAGACAGACACTCTTATATTTTGAACTGTTTACCAAAATTCCCAGTTGTTTGTACTAATGAAAATTGCTTTATGTCTGTTTCCCAGGTTAGAATCTAACAAAATACAGGTAGTCTCCGATTTGTGATGTATTCTAGTTACCACAGATCAACCACACTTACGACCGTCCTTTATTTTTCTTTGTACATCTTCTCGTTAGTAATATGTACTACATACAATGCTGCAGCACGTACTCTGCTGATGTTATCTTTATCTGTAAGTTTATATTTAATGTTTCCAACCCCCAAAGACAAATAAAGATCAAATTTATAAAGATACTAATAATAAAATGCAATGATAGTGAAAACTTTTTTAAAAAATGAGGTATTCAACTTACGTCAGACCAACTTACTAAAGAGTCATCGGAACGGGACCCTGTCATAAATCAGGAACTACCTGTCATTTCTAAGCTAGAATTTCTGTTTCATCTGCTGTTAAATATAGAGACCAAGGACCTCCATCACCTCACTTATTCATTCATTCAAAAAGCATTTCTCAAGGATCTATTTTTATGTGTTAAGGCACTGTGCCAAGCTCTGGAGCGTGATACAAAAATGACCAAGAAGTCACAGTACTTAGAAGAAAGTCTAAATCTACTGAGAGAGATAATACAGACAGCACTGAACTTGCATGCAAAGTGTGGAAGGAACACTAATTCTGTTCAGGCAAAGATTTCAGAGACGAAGTCATTTTGAGCCAAGTCCTGAAGAATTGCTAGAAGATCAATCAGGTAGAAAAAGAGAAAAGAAAGGATTTAAGCAGAAGGATGCAAAGGTGAGAAGGTACAAAATGAGATGGACTTTTGAAGGAATGAGAAGAAATTCTGTGGGACAGGGCTTCGGCCACTATTTCTGAAACTGAGATCTGTTTCTCAACTGCTTGAGAATCACCTAAGCAGCTTGCTTGTTAAAAATTCAGATTCCTGGAGGCCACTGCCAGACTTCAAGAGATTTGGCCCAATATCTGCAGTTTGTAATGCGCTTCTAATGTGATTGTGATACACACTAAATTCAAGAATTAGATGTACTCCAGGAGTGGTGGTTAGAGGAGAGAAGGGAAAGGAGCAGTAGAGAACAATAAAGATGGCAAATATATGTTGAAGCATAATTACAAAAGGCCTTTATCACTCTCCTATGGAGTTTCAAATTAATCCACTGACAATGGGGAAGTTTTATGCAGAAAATTACATGATTAGGTCTTTTTTTTTTTATAAGTCATCTGGCAGCTATGGGCAGGATGGGTGGGTATGAAAGAAATTAGAGCTATGCAGATGTGTTGGGAGGTGTGGTGTAAAAATTTACACTCTGTGCTTCTCAACAACTACAAAAATATGACTTGAAATTCATCGTAAAAAAGAATTTGAAAAAAATATGGTCATGGCATGTACAGAATTCGTTGTTTGGTGTGAAGGAAAGGTGCAGGGCCTCCTTAGGTTAATAAGCCACTTGAAGTCACTTTCTAAAAATGTCTGACATTTTCTCCTGCTATGCTGCAATCTGTAGAAAATCATTTTAGAACTGTGGAAATAAACTCATTTTGTTTTGCATCTGGATTTACTCTGCTAGAAAAATTGACCAGAAATAACTTCTGATTTACATTTTCTGTTGCTGCCTCTTTAAGGCTAATCACTTTAACAAGCTCTCTCAAATGTCCTCATAATTTTTAATGATACTATTTCTTGAGTACTTACAATGTGTTAGGAACTGTACTAAGTAAGCACTTTTTACGTATCATTGTATCTCATTTAATCTCACAACAGCTTTTTGAGGTAGGAATTATTACGAGTCCTAACGTTACACGAAACTGAGGCAAGTTGCCCAGTGTCACTCAGCTGATAACTGACAGGGGCAGGGTTGGAAGTCAGGTTGGCTTGCTTCTAGAGATCACATCTTTGACCCCATACTCTACTGTCTTGGCCCAGTTTAACTGTATCCAGTTTCCTTTATGATATATTATTATGATAATGAGTCATTACCATGCTCTCTCCATGCCATTGTTCTGAGACACCAAAAGGTTCTGTGATCCTGACTTCCAAAGGTCCAGGGATTAGGGATTCCTCTTGAGCATACTTAAGCCTATTATGAGTTCTCCATAAATATCTACAAACCTATAAGTGTCCTAAATTGTTTCTTGTATGTGTTCTTTCTCTAGGAATACCTTAGGTCAAAAATACAAGCCTGCCTCCCTCATCCCT